TATATATATATATATATTTGATGAAGGCCAGAACAGAGGGGGGAAAGTGTTAGGCAATTATATTACTTATGTTATCGTACCCAGAGCATTTTGTGATTGGCAGTTTGGTTATATTTTTTATTTCTTTGGGTGATATTAACTTAATTCTTGGGTGTGGTTCGTATTAAGGGTATATGATGATCCATCATCAAGGACGATCTTCTGTTGTGATTTTTCTCCACCCTCAAAGTGACTCATCCGTAATATTGCCTTCCCCGGAGTTCGAATTCTCACGCATCGATTTCTAATCGCAGTCGATCCGCTCCCGTGCCCCTAGCAACCCGAGTCTCGCCAAGGTCGAAAGTGGAATCGGGGGGAGGGGCACACGACACCCGCGCTCCTGTTCGAGGTCGCTTTGCGGCAGCGGAAGCGCGGGCAGCGGCGCGTATTCGGTTCCTCGTGAGCTGTCGGATCCGTTTACATCAGCGCGGAGCTGTCGCGGAACCTGTTTGCAGGTCGCGGTTACCTCAGGCCGCATCGGCACGAGCGCGCCAGTCGGCGGTTACGTTCGGCTCCCGACGGTCTCGCGTGAGGAGCATTCCGAGTCGACTGCCGGATTCGTTCATTGATGGAGCGGGTCTAAACGGACGGAGTTGAAGAGTAGAGCTTCCCCTGTTGGTTGATGAATGGTTCAATCGTCATTCATTTTTGAAAGGTAAGCGTGCGGAAAATTGTTATACGATTTTTTAAGTGCCATTAGAAATGTTTGTTTTGTTTTGTAAAAATAAGCAAAAGCATGGATCGAAAGTCACTAGGGGATGCGGTTGAACCCAAAATATAATGTACGGAAAATGTATCACATGTTCAAACTTGACATGTTTATTGTGACATTTCTGAATGATCACTGTATGAATTCAATTTTTATCATCGTTATTCTTTAAGATTTTTCCTTAAGTTGGGCAACCAACTTTCTCACTTTCGAAATAATTGTCAATTCCATAAATTTGTTAGGCGGTTTTGCGGCTTCTCCCTCAAAATGTTGACTACTGCCAAACTCCGTTCTCATTCTCCAAAAAATTACATCTGTGCATAATTTAACACTCCTATATATTCTTCATTTCCGCATTCTGCATTGCACATTACAACTTTAGCAGACAATTTCATGTTTGGAAGTCAGTTTCAAATTAGTTACTTGTGTTGCGAATAAACAGTTCTCATTAAATTGAAAGTTAGTTTTAATCATACTTATTTACAAATTAATATTTTTCCCTTTTCAACATTTTTTATTTGTATTTCTGTTGTAAACCCCTTTTTAACAGAAAATTGTTATACTTACATCGCAATAAAGCTTCAAAAAATATTAATACCTTATTTTGCTTTAGAAGGATTCATTTACAATCACGAATCAGAATTGGAAAAAATAAATGAACTTCAGTATGAAAAACATAATTTTCACACCCATTACTATTGGAGAATCTCAGCGAAATAGATTGTATATCAGAAAATTCATTCTCTATACCACATGAAAATCTCATCTCGAAGCCAAATTTGAATAAATCTTTCCTCCTCAACGCAGTTTGTTGCCAGATTACATTTGTCCAACAGGCTTGATACCCTCAACCTAGTACATATTATGGTACTACAACACTATCAAAACGAAATTTAATTATGACTTTGCTCTAACAGCAGGTTAGTGACACCTGTTGGTCATTTCAAAATAAAACGGGTGTTGTTTGTGTGTGTATTGTGATTTCATAGAGTTTTAGAATTAACACAATTTTACACATTACTGCAAACATTTGTCGTAATTATTGACTTAGTTTTTCATTGTTTCTTACAATTTTCAACAGAACAGCGAACATTTATTATAAGCTTTCCTTGTAACAGTTTGCAATGATTATTACTGATGACAATAAAACAAATGAATATAATTTTGTCGAAATAAAAAAAAACCTTCTCTAGCTTTTAATTAATATATTAGAAAATTAAAACAAAACTAGAGGTGCTACAAAAGCATATACTTCCTCACAATATATTAATATTTTTTTAATATTAGAAAATTTAGAAAATTCAACGAAAATGAATTTTTTAGAAAAATCTGTGTCTCAAATATTGTAGTTGCATGAAGTAGTCGAAAAAAATTGAACTTTCGTGATTTTCGAAAATTTACAAATCTCAGCAAAAATGAGACCTGCGGCATTTTTAAACAATTTTTGCTGTATCCAAGAAAAAATTGGGCGTTATTTTTGCGAAATAAAATTAAATGTTATTGAGGATTTATCGAAAGTATCCCCAAAATCAATATGTCCGTTTCAAAACCGCAGAACCTTAGTTGGGTCAGATCGATCTGAGAATATTAGTTTTGAAGAAAATCGTGAGAGGTTAAGGTGCTTGCATTCATCACACACGGACAGGCGGAGTGATAGAGCGGCGGGCAGGCAAACGCCTTGCCGTAAACCAATTTTGCGATATCAAGAACTCCCAAAACGAAGATTCTGGTTTCACAAAGTTTTGAGGGAGTAATTTGCTACTTATAGGGATAAAAGTTTTACAATTTTTTGATATATTAAATCACTCATCTCACTTTTCTCTTCGAAATTAGAATACTTTATATTTGTATGTGTGTATGTACTTGGCTTGACCGGTCCACCGGCTACGTCCTTGCCTCTCGGCCATGGGTAAAGAATGGGGTTACGTGTGGTTTACGTAGACATTCCCAAGCCGTATTCTGGTCTGCTGAGAAGTGAATTTTCTTACAGTCACTCAGCAACATATAATGGGACACTGCAAGAAAAACGCGTAGTATCATCTTGTCTGACCAGAAATCGAACCCGGGGCCGCGTAGTGGAAAGCGAGAGCTACCACGTGGACAAAATTTTATCTTTACTACGTAATTTTCTAGTAGGCGAGAAATTAAAATTACTCTGAAATCACGGTTTGAATTTTTGTGAAGTAGTGCCGAATAAAATATTGAAACGTTTGATACCTGGCAAATGGCTGTCACCTCGTGGTGGAAAGCGATACCTCTTTCGTTATAATGTATCAAATTTGTTTCATCTATACAATCAATTGCAATGACTATCTCTACGTTTCAAAAACATCGATTGTCACCTTTTTCACTTTGTAATTTTCAGCAACCAAGAAACGAAGAGCCGCAATGTCAGACGCGTCGCCTTTGCCGCCGGTCACCCTCGAGGAGGAGCTGCGGCGCAACCCGGACCTGCGCGAGACAGACATCGCGCTGCTGCGGGACTGGGCCGACAAGCAGCCCCACCTGCCCAAAGTGCTCGGTGAGATTCCGCCCCTGGCCTCTGACCTCTGACCTCTTCAGGACGCACTTCGTTGTGAACGGAATGTACTTGCTTCTGCATTTCAATAAGAAAGAAGCCGTCTCTCCCGGTGTAATTTACGTGCTAAAATGTATTTCGCGTTAATGTTTACTTTTTATTGCGAATGAGCATTAAAAAGGTAAAACTTTTATGTTTGACAGTTCGCTGGAGCTCGTCTTCACAGTTGTTTGACTTTCTGTGCGTAGATCGCGAGCTGGCGCTCTTCCTCCACAGCTGCTACTTCAGCGTGGAGGCCGCCAAGGCGACCCTCGACACCTACTTCACGGTCCGAACGCACCTGCCAGAGTTTTTTGCGCAAAGGGACCCAACTCTTCCAGAAGTCCAGACGGCTGCAGAAGTCACGTAAGACTATATTAGCTCAGTAATAAATTGTAGCATGATGAATTGACCTTTCGTTTTGGTATTCCCAGCTTATTACGTTATGTGGTTGAAAACGTTATTTAGAATTCTTAGTTTTTGGTGATTCAGTTTTTCGTAAAATCGGAAATCTGAACTTAAAGAAATACAATAAATATTTTCAAAAAATATTTTTTTTGTTTTATAAATGCAATTTACCTTTCTTTGAATGAATATGATGATCTTTGATTGATTAACTGGTAAATTTTATTTAGTAACTTACATTTGCGTGCGGCGATGGTGTAACGGTTAGCGTATGGTACCCAAGTTGGCGGGTTCAAACCCGAT